CCTAGTATGAGACTCCTCAGCAGTGCGCATCCACGATCCCGCACCACGCGGGGCTCGAACCCAGGACCTACTGGCTTCGAGCGCGAGTACTTAACCATTAGACCACTGAGCCGGCATCCAACGGTGTTAATGTCTAACTTCAACCAATCCACGAAGTTGCGCCACCGTACACCATTGTCTTCAGTGAGCTGATATCTCACAACAGACCTGGTTAGACTCCACTGGTAACGACTTCCCACTAGAACTCCAGAAGTATCTCCTGAAGCCAGTCACTAGTCAACTGCTCCAACTGTCCACATGAACCAATATCAGTCGTAGTATTGTGAGCCTCTTCTCTATTTTAATCACCATCGTCTTTCAATTTTTATCATATATGTAAATGTCAACCCTATTTTTTCAGATTCTCAGTCATTGCCTTGAAAGTATTGAATTGAACCATTTCACTAGGTTTTCATTTCTTTTCCCTCATTTTTTCTCCTAAGTAAATATTCTTTTAAGATTACGAAGTTTGTAATTAAGACAATAACTTGTGTTACACTTAAATTAACTTCTCAGACTCGGTTTATCTTCACTATGCATATATGACTCGTACATCCTTCTCGTTTATTGGGGACTTTAATAGCATCACTCCAAACTATGACTGCACAAACATTTATCCTAGCGTCGTATCTTACTGCAATAATAAGTTATTTTTTCTTAGCAATTCTCTACTTTATTTTTGCTACTAATTTGACGATACATATATAGTTGTTTATTCTTGTTTTGTGTTCATAAACACGCTTATTGAACTATTTGCGTATTTCATGTCTCCTTTATTTCCATTCCCTTATTTTCTCCCTTTCCTTTTCTGAAGTAAACTCAATATTTTTCTCAATTACACAGAACGTGATTTATTACTGCTCCGTTATCATTACTATTATTTTCTCTCATTTTCAAATATGGCAAATATAATGTTAACATTATTGAAACTTATGTGTTATTGAACTTTTGAAGAAACTCGAAATGGTTTCTTCACAACACTTATGTACCCATAAGATGATTGTGAATAATTATGATAATTGTCTTGCCTACTGGTTTATTTCTACTAACTTATTTTGTTTGGAAACCCATAATTTATCTCATGCTCCTATGCGATACCGTTTCGATATCCCATCAACTCTACAGGTTTTAATTGTCTGATATGCCTATTCCGGATATTTGTAAAATTTATTTTTTTTTAACAAGGTGTGGAGCGTAGAGCATGGAGGTAAGACATAGCTGCAGTCTAACCAACACTTTAATACAGTATGATGTCAAAACAGAAGGGAGGGTAGAGTTATTGACCAGCAAGCATGTATGGTGAAAGCCATCACTTCGATTCACCCATGTTTGGGTGCATGATACTTTGATTGCCTCAGGCTCTTCATGATTAGTAATAAGGTAACTAATCAGTGATACTAAGGTTATCTTATCATGCTCGCTGATTCTTCGACTAGTGTTTGTTCTGTCATTCTACGAAGTCATCCAATTACATGCATTTTCAGACGCTTAGGTGCAGACATAACGATCGGCATTTAGTTCCAACAATAAAAAGAGCGATATTTAAACCGACTTATATATCTGCATGAATAATCTATCACATATCCTTTCTAATTTTATCTGTTGAACAAATCTATCTGGTTGGTATCTTTTTAATAAATATATCTTGTAACTTATCGTTCATGCGTGCAAAAATGGCAATTAACTGCTTTACGAAAAATATTTTGTTGTTGTTGTATGATATCGAATCCGGTTTCAGCTACCTTAAGTTTATTGATGGGTAATCCACCCCGTTCCTATGTTTCGACTGCAAAAGTATATGTTCTAAGGTAGTGTGTTTCAAGTATCATCAAATCAAAGTCTGTCGCATTGGACACCAGAGGGAATCGTTTGTTGAGTAGAAAATCTGGCGTCAAAGTATATTACCTCAGTTCGGATTTATCCTGTATGGTATAAGAAGCCGCATTTATTCCAACTGAAAAGTTCATCCCAAAATGTTTGCTTCTAACAAAACAACTGATTGTTTAGGCACTCTGCCCCACTAGTCGTGATCTGTGATGGGTTTTTGCATTTGTCATACCCTGGGATGTCGATTTTGGCTCGACGCATGGCTGATTTAACCTGTTTGATTTAGCATCAAATATCTAGCAGTACGAGAAAAACTGCCCGGTGTCCAAACTATCATGATTTGCTCTATCGTCTTGATCTACATCGCTCCTACATTGCTCTTTCTGTTGTCTATCCAGCAACAATTTATGACTTTGATGCTCAAGACTCTCTCTGCTGTGTCTTAGCCTCCCACTTGTCTTATATCTTGTGCGTGATGCATTGTAAGCGATTCAGTAAGAGGTTTTATTCCCACTGCATTGTCCGAAATTCGTACCATAAGGAGTAAAAATGCTTATAGGCCTTTTGCATCCGAACAGTGTTGAACATAGAATTAGACAGCTTGAGTCGACCCTTGCTTTAGGACTGTTCATTCGATGATGTTTATGCTGATCAAAACTTGGATTTGTTGTAAGGATTAAGAGGATGGCCGGCAGTCTAATTTTTGTCCTCTCCGATTATCTGATAGAGGTGAGTGATTCATTGTTTCCTTCTGCTTCGTAAGTATTATTCTGAATTTAAGCTAACATGCTATAGCACATCATTCTCAAGATCCTATTTGCATTTTTGTGCTGACATGATTATGTAAAGCTCACACGCATACATTCTTAGTGGCAACAACTCTTTATTTATTTATCCACGTGGCGTGGCTTCCATTGAAATCTGAATTTACAGGTACTACGTTTATCTTTTAGTTTGTTTGTAATTATTATCATATACGACTCCCAAATTCAGAGTCGTTATGAACTGATCTATGTCGTTGGGGATTTTAAAAACTATTTTTGCATTAGTTTTAACTAAAATTGTATTCTGGTTGCTGCTACTCTGGGTGACTGTATTGTTGATTGGTCTTGTGGAGTAGAAACTTAATTCGTTATTGTCGTCAGTGGGTGGTTATAATTGATTATGACAGAAAAAATGCTCTTAAACCCCTAGTAAGTCTTATTTGACAATACTATCATTCTCATTTTCTTTCACTCTGTCTAATACTTGAACGTCCACCCACAACAACTGCGTCTGTCTTTTGTACATTGGCAATCTTCTTCACCTCGGCAGTCATTATTCGATTTTGCTTACGGTTCGCCCTGTAGATGACAGTTTATTTTTTATGATGTCAGATCATTAACATTAATATAATGTTTAACTGAAATCATGTTTACGGAGTTGGACGGTTGATATGTTATCTTGGGACTGCCTGCTGGGAACAGACGTTCAAATCGTCGCTAATGGATTTTGACCCTATTTTGCTGGTAATACTGCTATTGATCCTCAGACATATAACACTTATTTTCCGACTATTTCTACTGCCTGGAATACTGTTCTATCCTAGAGTGAATTTTGGGTGTATAGCTCAAGCTGTAATGTTCGAGGTATTTTATGCTTTTGATGTGATTTGTTTTCGCCATGGAATCAGAACCGATCAAATGAAGCACAGAGGTGATTTAGTGTGAGCGGTTTTAAAAGGCTTTGAGTGATATACGAAAGAACGTAGTTTGGTCTAATCGAACAAACACTAATTAGTTGGTTCTCTATGTCCAGACCAGTCATCACAGTGGTTGTTATATGGAATTATGATCTGGTTCGGTATTAGTATATTTATCTTTGTTAAAATCGTAATAGATCAAGTCCCAAAATTGTAAATTTGTCGTAACCTAATATATAAAATCCCACGTGGGAGTCACATCATTGTTTATTCTGACTATCAGCAGTGCAATGTTAAGCACTTCTGAAGAACACATTTGGATTGAAGAATAATATATTTTAATGTGAATAGAAATTTGTTTCGAGGATGACTACACCCGCAAAGCTGAGCCATGCCTTACGGACCAATTCTTCCCACATTCATCATTCTTGATTCTCTATCATTGTTACGCGTTGAAAGTAAATCTCCCTAGCAATTATACGTTCAGCTTCAAAGATTGTGTGATTAGGGACCGATGCGATTACGGTTTCATTGCTTAAGCGATGGTTGTCTCGAAGATTGGCCACTCAGGTGTACGAACGTATGGCTTGCAAACATTTAAACTTGGATCGTACTTTTACTTTGAAGAGTGTAGTGAGCACGTTATTTGGGTTTTTAATACCAATCACTCTTTCAGGCTTTTGACCATAATCGAACCTGAAGGTTAATTTAACAATTGTGCATACTCATCAGCTATTAATCTCTATCATCTAGCGTTTAACTGAATGGTGTATTTGCGTGTCTTAGGTAAAACTACATTTAATATCTACAATCAAATGGCTTTTAAATTAGTAGACAAGTTCTCATGCTCGTAGAGACGTCACGGAAACAGTGGTTTTAACGTCACCGTCCGAATCCTCTCCCTATACAAGGATACCAAAGGTAATCAAAGTCGAGAACGAAGGTATGCAAAGGTATGTTTGAATAGTGATTGATGAGTTGAAGTGAATAAAATCTAGGCTGGATTGTCGTCGTCAGAGACGTGCAGCGAAGTGTGCCCAAACATAATCTGGTGAAGATGCATGACCGAGTGCTCTCAGCCAGAGGTGTGTCTAGCAAAAATAACGAGATGAAAATCAAAACCGAAGACCGATAAAGCCATTTGTTTGATGTATTTATCTTTAAACACCTTTAGCTTTTTAACACACTTCTCAAAGTGGATTCTATTTCAACGTGTAACTCTCATTTTATTTGCTTAATTAATCTGCCAACTTGGAATGAGCTGCAGTTCCTGTTCGTAGAAAATTTATATGCCGATAGCCTTAAGAGATTGAAAGAGTCTGCAATATGGATCAAATTTTCGTATGCAGTGCTGGCTAACTGAATGAATCGAAGAATGCACGAAAATATTTGATATTTCATTTTTGTTGAACATTGAAAATTTATTTTCTTCACTATCAGAGTATGGTTGCTTGTTTAGTTGTTTTATTAGACAGAAGTTAGGCGTTCCATATATTGACTTACAAATTGCAGTAGGTTTGAAGTCTTACTCAAGTTTCGCCTGTCTGACTTTTATTTTCACACTCGTGTTGCTGATAATTGCTATCGATTGCTCTTCTTGTTAAAAGTAAGTACATTTTGTACTCTTACTGAGTTGTCGCTTGACCTTTGCCTTTGTTCTCTTTCTCAGCTCCCCTCACATTGCTCTACGCGCTGTTAACGCCGATGTTTATTTTTCCGAGCACTTCGTATTGTCAGTACTACAAGGAAAATAAAGTCACAAAGTGTTGCGTAAGACATTGGGACTGTATTTTCTTGTAGTACTTGGTAACTTGCTATACCAAGCAATTTATTTCATCCATTTATCAATTTTCGGATACCAATAGTGTAGTCTATTGACGAGTTTAAATAAACACTTTCCACTTTTGTCAAAATCAACCCAATGTTAACTATCACGCCGAGCATATGGGTTGGTTCTCAGCCATCCAAATAAGTCTCAGAAGTGAAATCGAAATGACCGTTAACTTTGTTAGACGCGGGTAGTTCCAAAGAAATCTTAACAACAGTCTTACTTCATCAACGTGTAGTACACTTGGATAAATATTGTTGCTATCCGGAAGATCGAATCATGACAATTTATGATTATTAGAAGCCTACTGTGTGTTCACTTGTGGAAGTGATACGACGACCTTTTACATAGCCAAAAAAGGGTATTCGGAGAGCTATCGTAAAGACTGTGGATATGAACAGTTTCTGGTTACCTTTGCCTCCATAGTTACCAAGGTGCATCATTGTCATTATTTCTGGGGACAATTCTTATCAACCCATAATTGTAAAGTCTCAGAAGATCGTTACTGAAATCACATCTGGTTAACTCGGATCTAAGGATCAGTTTGTCCCCAGCCTTTGCCTCATTTTGAACCTGGAGATCCCGAACTATGTATGTGATCATGGCATCACTGCATGGGTATGTGTACGTGGTCCTTTCAGAGTCGGGAATTACATGTCATTATCATTAAATAATTATAGTTCAAATGATTCGTTAAGGATAAACCTATTCTATAATCGGTCGTAGTATGCCTCTGAAGTATCGAATTCCTGTGTGTGGGCGTTGAGTTATTAGTATAATCCGGTACAACTACTGCTGTACACTTAGAAAAACTAGCAATTTCAAGTTGATGTAGTTTCCCAACATAGTCCGTTTTTTCAAAGTGCTCCGACGACGTGATGGGTTAGAGTTCTGTTTTCTCTCAGATTCGACTTCAAGCAGATTAAGTATCTCTTATCACACACAGCCAGCAGTCCTCTGCATCGGTCAGTTCAGTAAGGCTCATAGAACCTGTTTAGATGGTAGTAGTTTAAGTTGAACCATCTCGGGCTGTTGTTTCATTTTGGTGACAAAACACTAACTTTGACCCTTAAGGTTACTGTTTTAAGGGGATTGCACTTTTCGATTTTAGTAGGCTGTTCATTGCTATCTTCACAAAATATCTACATTTAGTCTCCTATGTATTTCAGACTGAAACGGCCACAACGTGAGATGAGACCAATCTATGAAGTCGATAACTGCTAGTCTAAGTCATATTGATGAATACAGGCCACCTGGTCAGGATCTATTACGTAGATGTGACTACTGGTTGTAGAGTGATGTGAATCAAAACCGTTCACAGTGGCGCGAACTCATAAATGCTTTATTTGCCCATCGATCCCGAATTCCAGCATTATTTCACACATGCCTTTCTAGTCTGCCTTTCCAAATCATGTCCTCAATATCCAACCGTTCTCTTTATCACTTAATTAAGTCTGTTACCCCTATTGAGGGATAGACCACCGAGCAGCAATCTTCAGTCACCTTGTCTGAGGCTCTGCTTTTCAGTCGTTGCTGAGTGTTATTCCTGATCTTGGTTTCTGCTTCCGATTTCCGGCACCATATGTCCCTCAGTACGTCCCGTTTCCTTTTTTCTTTAAGGATTCCATGTTGGGACTTGCTTTTTGATGCAGTTTGATTATTTCTGCAGTGTCCTATCCATTACTAGCGTCTTCTAATTTCCTCTCTAACATGGAGCAGGTTCGTTCACTAGTAGAATGGGCTATTGCTGATGGTCTCTGGCCTATGGATTTGGGGTATCTCACGCAGCCGGTTGTTTGTGAATACCTTTGCTCTTTTGGTGATGGTGGTGACAATTGTCCAAGTTTCAGCTCCATACAATAGAATTGTTTAAACGTTAGTGTTGAAGATTCTTACTTTGGTAGTGGGTGTCGGTTGTTTTGAGTTCCAGATATTCTTCAGTTGTAGGAGTGTTGCCTTTGCAGTACAGACTCGTACGTTTGCATCTGCATCAGATCCTCCTAGTTTACCGACGATGCTGCTCAGGTACGTTAAGGCTCCCACCTCTTCAGAAGCTTTGCCAGTAAGTGTGATTCGACTGGTTCTCAATGTGTTTTGCTTCAGAAGCTTGTTGTTTCCTCTGTGTTGGGGCATGATACTGTGAGAGCTGTTGGTACAATGGCTGTCTTTGCATTTGTTGTTGTGTTTGCGATTGCAGGATCAAGTCATTTACAAGATCGGTCACTCAGCTGCGTTCAATGTGTCCGCTGGATTTCGTGTTTTTCTTGAGATGCTGTCTTCATAATCCAGTGAACAACCAGAAGGAAGAGAAAATACTTGATTCGAAAGGTTTGTCTAATACGAGTTTTTATCTGTAGTTGATCTGTCATCTGCTCACTATGCACGACTTTGCAGTTCAGTCCGGTGTTGGGGCACCATGTAATGGTGAAGATTTTCCTAGGTACTCCTTAGTATCAATGGAGAATTTACAAAATTCTACTTTTCAGGATGGTCATGTGTTTCCCCAAACCTTACCCTACGATGGTCTGCAGCCTCATGAGAATGTTGTTTATCATGTTCGCTGCTATCGTTGGTGGGTGCATAGCACAGGATCACATTCATCATAATCCTTCCCTTCTTTGTTTCGGGAGATGCTGTGATAGTCTCGAAACTCTGAGTCTCCCATCCTAGATTTGTTCATTCTATTTTTCTCTTGACACTATTAGTAAAATTCCTTGTGTTTGTGTGTGTGTGGGAGGGCACTTTCTTTATGACTAGACTTCGGTGACAGCTTTTCTCAAGTTAGTGTTTTTTTTTCGGATTAAATGCAATGAGTTGCTCCTATTCTAATGCCGGTCAGCTTGTGTTTGTGCTTTTCTGTGTTTTTTCAATTTGTACTTGTGGTCTCGTATATTGTTCCGATATTCGGCGTACCCATGTTTACCGTTACCCTGTTTGTCGGAGGGAGTATCAGCCTCGTGACTTCTGAGGAATCTTGGCTTTCACCCTGAGACATTATAAGTGATGTATATGAAGACTCTCAAACTGTGAGGTCAGAGTTTGGATGAGTTTTCCTAGTTAGTGGTGTTGTTTCTTAGGTGATGGAGCTTGTGACAACGGACAGTAGCCCAGGAATGTTTCTAATCTGAGTACATGACGTACTTCTACATAATTGAGTTTGCGTTTGCTTTACAACTCTTTTGGCAACAATTACTCATTTTCTGTTTGTTCGTAGATTTTGTTGTTGAATTGAAAATATGTTGTTAAGCACAAATCGTTGAGTCCTACCAGGACATTTACTCATGTTAAAAAATTGTACATAAGTGTTGATAACGCTTATCTCACTAACTGTAAGCACAGCCTGAAGTAAACCATAAAGAGTGCACTAAGTTTTTACAATTAGTCATTTCCAAATTGGAACGTCGTTCCAGTGGTTAAAACATCCTGTTTTGATCCAATAAATTGTGGGCTTTGAAAGCTACAACTACTTCGGTTTGACCTAAACAGCATTCAGTTCTTAACCAATAAGGGAAAGTTTGCCAACCTGTTCCGCCAACTTTAGTTTAAGCATTTAGGCGGTATCACCAATTCTCACTCAGACACTGCTCTGAAGCCACACGCTCATCGAACAAGTTACTTCGATTTGATCAGAATCCACACCAGACTTTTATTTGTACTTTGTTGGTAAGCTACATTAAGTTTCCTTCCAAAGTTGCCTATTGTTGCTTTATCTATTATATAGAGTAATTTACTATTTTTCAGTTTCAGCATTAAAATATGCCACTTCCTAAACATACAGTTCAACCGGTCAAACTCAGTCAGGTAATTGTCCCGAATGGCATCGACAATGAGTTGGAATTTGTTGTTAATTCCACGGTCTGCAATGTCATGAGACAGATAGCATCAGTTAGCCGATTGGCCAACACCATGTTCGAAGAACTCACTACCGATTTTTCTCGACTAGTTGAGCGGACTGTTCGTCTGCAAAATCGTCTGGGAAAACTTCATGAAGATATGCAAATGGCGCGCAGCGGTGACGAAGACCTTACTGCTGGAGTACAAGAAGTTGAGATTCCGGTGTTCTCTAGCAAAAAACCAACTGATAGCCAGGTAAATTGTTCTACCTTTTCATTTTAGTTAGGTATTAAATCAAAATACCATACCTCCTTCTATGCGGTCACAATATGATCAAGCAGAAGCAGCTCCAGCACTTCAACAAATGGATGAACTCAGAGATGATAAGAAAACTAGCATGAGGTTGTATTCAGATCCCAGCTTTTTCTTTGATTTATGGAGTCAGGAAATGTTACAAGATCGCAAACATAAAAGAGCCGCCAAGAAAAAAGTAATTTTTGCTGATCCATTAATCGGTTATTTTCTTATCTCTTCTATTTGCAACCTATGTTTGTAGCTGCATTCGTTGTTGTTTTATGTAGACCATCTAAGCATTTATAGATTATTTCCTTCTTTAAATGACAAAGTTATTAGTACTTACCTGATCTTCTTTTTATGGTTTCAATAATAAACGTGCTCTTGCTATGTGATTACATGGATTTCGTAATTGAAGTATATATCAGTCTCAGTTCTTAAATCATCTGGTGACTTTTTTGAAAATTAGTACTAAGCCGACTTTTGGAGTGATGCAATTAGTATAATATGTTTCGGTCCTAAACCCTTCCACTTTATGATGCTAGTGAATTCTACAGTTTCGTTTGACGCTTTTAATCATGTCGCTACAACTAAAGGTTTTGATCAAGTTTTGTATTTATATCCAACTACATATTCGTCTACTGAATTGTAGGATTCTTGTTTAGTTGTATTTTCTTTTTTTGCTCTTCTGTCAGGCGGTGAAAATTGATCGTCTCATTTATTTCATACCCATATCTATGTTACAAGGTCGTATTCCCCTTCAACGTCTGTCTTGCCACAGTTCTCTTAGTTCTCTTGAATTTTAATGTCACCGAACGTTTTCTGCGAACAAATGCTACAATTAGCACTGAGATTGATCCATAGCATATTCTTCCTTACTCATTGACACATAACCGATTTTAACCATAAAAAAGTAAGTGTTTTGTTGGGATTTTCGAAGCAGTTTTAAAAGCGATGATGCTAAATTCCTCGACTCACTTTCTTGCTGTCACTTGAAAATGTATGTTTGCGTAGTCAGAAGACCATTTATCACAACCAACTTACAGCAATATAATTCATTCTAATTCACAAGCCTGGATTTGTGTTGCATTCATTTACGATCTTTTTTTCTGTGTCTGCGCTTAGATAAAAATAGGGGACTGTAAGAAAGTAAAGCGATTCATGGATATGATCTTTTTGTTCCAGTTTTAGTAATATTTTATACAACCAAATATCCTAATCTTTGAAGCTTGTAACCTGTTTTGGGTAAAATACCTATTTTAGAGACCAAAAGGAAAGGGAAAAGCTACTCCACTTAAAAGTGGATCTAATCAGGGAGCTCAGAAACCTCAACTTATCATTCAGCAACCAGGAGTTGGTGGCCATAAACTTCCTGCACCGTTATTCGAACAAAACGGTCCTGTTAATGCCAGTTCTCATATGGATAGGAATGTCAATATTGTCAACGGTAAACCCACCCAGCATCAGTTTCTAAATAATGGGGATTTCGGAAATCCTTCATTACCTCCTCCGCCACCTCCACCAAATGCTCTTCATTCGTCAACACAAGTTGATAATGTACAGGATTTTCGACACGCATCTAATCAAAAGAGTGGTTATTCCCCAACTAAACCTGACCTTAGTGGTGTTAATCAGTTTCCTTCAGTTACCAACAACATTTGTAGCAACCAAGACCCTTCACCAGCTCATCAGATGACTCTTCCTGACCCTCCCGCACTCCATACACAGATGACATCTCTTATTTTACCACCACCACTTCCTCCAGCGTTCTTGAGCGACGGAGAGTTAAAAGTCTCAGGTTGGTTTAAACCGCTTAATATGTGTGTTTTTAATCACAATCTGATACATCGTTTGGATGTTACGTGATAAAGTTTCAATTTAGTATATATAGTATCGGTCTCTTACATATACAATTGAATTCGTTCACCCTCTACATCTTTAGCCTAGTATCATCCCATAATTTTCATCTCAGTTGCGTTTTTCAAACTACTTTCCTTATTAATGATTTTGTAGGTATCGTTACCAAGGTCAGAATTTTTCTACTCATTGAGATATTACAAATATATCATTTATTTATACTTTATGTTTATTTCACCGCTATAGTAGGTATTATTATTATTATTCGTTTTCTTAGCTTTTGGTTGTGCTTATTTCCTTGTTTCATGTAACACCTGAAAACCAGTTTAGTAATTAGTTGTATCATATCAAAAGATGCACCGGTGTGGTGGTTATTCTATGTTCACAGGATTTATATTTTTCTCTGGCATTCGTTCTGAAGAGAAAAGATTTGCAAATATTAACACTACTGAACGTCCAACCTTACTCCATAGATTTTTGGATTTGTTGGCAAGATCTTCAAGAGGAGCTGTCAGAATTTTTTGACAAGCTTCGAGAATGTATCTTCACAGTCATTGACTATGGACACCATTTCCATTTCATACGCTTTCCGTTTGCTTATTTCCTTTCATAATGCTGGTGTTTTGTGGCGTGGACTGGTACACAGTTATCCCGGATCCTGAATTATACTTTATATATATATATATATATATATATAATTTTTCGCAGCACGTCTTCGTGAATTCCGTTTCTATTTGTTTGCATATATCTGATTTGTTTATCTTTCCAAGTATTTTATTTACGTTTGTGTTGTACTTTTTATGTTAATTTGGGTATTTCTAGTTTTTATTTAACTTTTTAGATATGAACGAAAATTCACATCCAAATGATGTAGCTGCTAGCAGAGACCCAACTGGAAAAGATGGGGATGATAGGATATCATCACCCACACAAATGCATGATGGCAAAGAGAAACAGTCTCAGTATATTAATTCTGTAGGTATGGAATCGGTAAGTTTTTTGACCTTTTAGCTGTTTCTTCCATAAGCTTAAAGTTAAAATGCTGCAGTCATTTTTTACTGCGATTAGGGTTAATTCATGTTATACATGCATCATGCCCCCACATAGATTAATAGTTAATTAATGTGAATGGAAGGTGAATCCATCAATTAACTCCTGTTTTGTTTTCTTGTGTGATGACTGTAATACTTACTTTATTGCAAGCGTTTGTGAACTAATGTAATCGTAAAGTAGTTATTAAGTAGATTAAACATATGATCAATTGATTTGAATTTTGTAGTTCATGTATATATAATTAAAAGCTAGCTCTTTTTTATTTCTATAGATTTACTTAGTCTGTTGCTAACCTGGCTTTGTTCCTACTCCGAATAATTCTCCCATTTTTACATTTATGTTTCAGTCATCATCGGCACCACACAATCTTCCTCCACCTCCTCCCGCGCCGATTTTCGAGGCGAAGAACTTCAATGAGCCTTTTAAACCCAACAAACAGCCTAGCGAGTCGGATACTTGTGATCATATATCCGCTTCTTCGACCCTTCCTCCTCCAGTGACACCTTTTGTTGTTTCGCCACCTCAAACATCTATTCTATGCTCATCTACACAACCTCCACCACCCCCACCTCCACCTCCCTTCATACCAAACCAGAAAGTTGGGTCTGAAAGTCCAAGCAATCAAGCAGCTTTATCAACTAAGAACACTATCCCACGATGCAGTGTACCTCAGTGTCCTCCTGCAGATTTGCTTTCTGCTATACGCGCTGGCTGTCAGTTACGCAAAGTGGGTGAACGAAATCTTCCCGATCAATCGAAATTTAGCCGTGCAAATAGTTTATCAACTCTGGTAAACAAACCTAAGGATGTTCAAGTTAGTTTCACTGATCTTAAGTTTGTTAAACTTCGTTTGTATGTATCTACTTTCAAATGTACTACATCCCGTCGTTTAAGTGAAGTGTTACATTTCAATAGTCAAGGTGACTAATGCCTCTTGCTCATTCAAGTTACCAAAGTTTGTCTTCTAAAAGCTCATTGTAAACACAGTGCTTGTATTGATCAATTTTGTATAGAATCATAAATTAATATTCCTTCATCTCAATAATCTCGATTACGGCAATTATGTAGTCTCCTCAACTATGTTATTACAAAAATTTTGTCGAGTGTCATGAGATAACGTACTAAATAAGAAAACAAACCAGAGATGCTTAGGATCTTTCCAGATGGAAGCACGAACGGAAGGTGACAGTGTCCACTTTTGGTGCAAAAATGTGAAATCCAAAGTTTTATGGTTAAATTACAAAAATAAGTTTGCCAAGTGATTTCTGGTGATCTAGCTTCCTGTTGTGGAATCTAGATTCCCAAAAACCACTTAGAATTTACCGTTGATCCCCTTAAAATGAAGTCATTTGGAAGCACTAATGACATGCCTTTCTATCTACACAATGGTACAGACGAATTGACAACATAAAGCCCTAGATTTCTAACACAACTCTGTTCGAGCCTTCTAATTTATTCGTTTACATGTATCTGCCAAAGCAGTTACATTGGTAGAACAGAAAGGAGAGCCTACGTCCGATTCAAAGAACATATTCCGAAAAGTTAAAGATTAAATGGATTGAACGCATTCAACAGTGCCATCGCAAGACTTCTCCTTGATACAGGACATGAAGTCGATATACTGAAGTCCTTCAAGGTGATTAACAAACATCAAACTCCAACCTTTTGATTGATTTCAATTCATATTTTCTTCATTACCATTAATCTATTTTCATGAGTTCTAATCACTATTTCGATGTTCTGGAACTTTCCCTCTATAACTTTATTTATTCGAATCAAACATTTTATGAGCTCATTAACTCTATCTGAATCTTTGCTACATCATCATACACATGTATTGATCCTTAATCACACTCTTATGTATAAATATGTCAATATCTGTAATAATTTGGATTTCAAATAATTTAGGTTGTAAGCAGCTAATGAGAACCTAACGAAGTAAAATGAATTCATATTATTCTGCACCAATCTTTGTTCTTGCTCACTTTAAGATAATAAAGGGAACTATGTGTATGAAATTATTCGTTTAGATTCTTTTTCCCTTCAAAGTAATTAGCCTTTTTTGTACCCTTCGTTTTACTGATTAATGTAGTTTGTACCTTCATAATTTTTGTCATTGATTTGACGAAATTTCTGTTACCTCTTTTAACTTAATTGGTGCTCCAGTACTCGTTCTACTGTCTACGAAACTGTAATTAATTAGTTTGAATAATATCCTTATTATCAACGGGAGTTATCTGGAATATCCCTAGAATCAGGAAGCATTGTTTTTCAATTGTCCTAGGTGGATCCTGCATGTCCACCAATCCTGTTAAATCACCGGACCACTCACTTTCCGTCCTTTCAATTTCGTAAATATCACCCCCGCTACACACATCCAAGGGTCCCATTGCTTTCTCTTTCTGTAAGTAGTTACATTTCTTGATCAAGTTGGTTTAGTATTTTCTCGTAGTAGCCTATTTCAGAACTGATTAATCCGTAGCTGTTATCCTGCGTGATATATTATCTTGTGTTTATTCTGTTTGACTTCTTTAAGTATTTTCCTATTTTTCATGTTTTCATTTTCAGGCGATTTATGAAGCTGTTAGGCGTCGTCGGGAATGTATGGAAAATAATTCCTCGGAAGATGACGATGACGACAAAGATGCAGACAGTAATTCTTCCGGTTGGGAGGACTAGCTCTTATCTATCGTAACAAAAAATGTATTAGGGCATGTACCAGTTTCGTTTTTATCTTCTGCCAGTAACACGTTTTTTTTAACACAATGCCCATCTTTGTATACTCACATTTCTACTTACGTCTTTCTATAACTTCTGGTTTTGCTTTGTTCATGTTCTCATATTTTTCTTCGATTATTATTTATTAGCTGTATATAAATGTACAATTCTGTTCACATAGGCATATACTTTTATGTCTTCATTAACGTATGATGTTTTCTCTGGTTACTTTACTTCAATAATTTGAGGTAAGTTAAAGTTTGGCAGACCATAATTAAATTTTTGTGTCTTTCTGATAATCTGAAGGTTCTATTACGAAGACCACTTCAATAGATTGTTACGCATTGATTTCGCAAATTGTTAACCTCTTGAAATTTTGTTTTGTTAACGATTATTGGTGGGATAATGTTAAAATCCCTTTCTTTTGTTTTAGGAGTATTACTATGATTGCTCAAATCTCATTGAAAAAATAAATCAGTTATGATTTCATAGGTAACTGCTAGTCATTATTGATCTAACAATGCTTAAGATAAAAAAATACATTAGACTAACTTCTCATTAATAATTTGTGTCCAATGACATATTGATTGTTTTATTATATGTACAATTTCAGGGTTGATTTAATTGTACTCATTTCCTAACAATCATGAGACTAAAATCAAGTTCAATTTTATGTGTCTGGTTATCCTGCAGTCAAAATATTATTATTACCACTTTAAAGAATAGTTTTTCTTTCTGCTGTTCTTTGTCCCTTTGGTAAGCAACTATATTCATTTATTTCTTATGTTCCGGTGATTGCGATCGATGCGATTTTACTTCTCGTTTTAATTGTAGTTGAACGAAATACCATCGTTTTACCAAAACATTTATATGCATATTTTTTGTTGGTTTCAGTTGCTTTAATGCTGTTCAACTCATACAAGTATGGATGTCATTAATCCCTAAATATCTTATTTACATTCATTTTTCAGAATTTTACTAATTTTAAGTAAGGTTTACGGTCCGTAATAATCTGTTTGCCTCTGAATAATATTTCCCCCTACTGATTTCTTAACTTACATGTTGCTAAAGTGATTTTTACAGCTTTTTTTCGACTTAAATATAGACTGTGGTTATGTGGTCTTATCTCCATTTAGTCATAGACAATCCGTAACTTTCAGTTTTTTTTATTAGTTAAATCGTTTCTGTAAGATGTATGTTGATCTCATGTCGTTAACTTGTTTTACGTTGCGATAGACCTGTGCATCTATTTGCTGGCTAGTGTGAATACGAAGATATTCGTTGTCGTAATGAATAGAACTGTTTCTGATGGCTATTATTCAATAAAATTTGTATTGCTTCAATAGTTTCTTCAAAATATCCTTTAGACCTTTTGTTTTGCGTATTTATAACATGTCATTTAATGTATCCCAGTACTTTAATACATCTTGGCTTTCATTTTGAAATTAGATGTGCTTTATACAGATCTGTTAACAATATAAACGAAATCGTGCATGCACGTAGTCTTCTACTGACGAACTGTATTGTTTAGCTGATAATATCATAAGATTCGGACCAATTAATTGCGAACTATTTTGTGGGTTAATTTGCTCTAAATAATCAATAAAATAACAGCTATTCTTTTGTAGCATATTATGTTAGTAAATTATATGCAAAGAAATTGAGTACAACTACTTAAAACGTTTTGAATTTATGACATGCGAAAAGGAATAAGACGACCTTCGTGCTTAGTTTCCCCAGTTTATCGAAACCGTTAAGCCGAAAAAATTCCGTCCACAAAACAGTCGGGTCGCTACACTTCCCAAGCCCAGTAAAAAGCGGCTGAGAGAAGAGTTGTCAACCCCAGCTCCTAAAAAACTACACCACTATAAGAACAGTAGTTTGCAACTTATTCTCTTCACATGGGTTGTACTACTAATATTTAATCTCACATGATATGAGTTTTCTAATTCTTGTGGTGTGAACTTCCAATCTAAACATTAGGCTAGTTCTCTTGATCAATAATTACTGTTGGGATATTGTTCCAATTTGTGTCCGTTAAAACTTACTGTTTACGATAAACATATAATTTTTTATGCAGTTCGTGCATTTCATTTGTCTTCTGTTGGTAAACCATAAAGCTTGCACATTGTTGCGAACACTAAAGCCTTAGCAAGTATGTGTGCTTACTGATATGACGCTCAAGAGTTAGACCTAACCATCAAGTCTTCATTGATTGAAAGGTAGTGGTCTACAAGCTGATTTCTTCTAATATTTTACAACAATTCCGTTTTATTTCATAACAAACTGCCTTTCTGATCACTAGTCTTGTCTTCTGTACCAAATCAGTTGGACGCAACAGCACATTCATGAACGGCCAGAACGCCTTCATCGAATCAAAGTTTCCATCTACCTTTCTGTCAGCGTTCTATTTTGTTTTAACGACCAGAATTTCCGTTCATATAACAGTGAAACCATTCTGCATTAATTTGTGTTCAAATGCATGACCCGACAATATACCAGCTGAAGTCAGACATCGAAGTAACTACAAACATGCTTCACCTTCTATTCAAAGAGATTTGGGAGAAAAAACAAGTGCCGATGGACTGAAAAGAAGGACACCTCATCAAGACTCCAAAGAAAGATCTGAGCAAATGTGAAAATTACAGAGGCATTACACTACTGTCAGTACCAGGGAGAATCTTTAACAGAGTGTTGCTGAACCGGATGATAGACGCAACAGACGCCCAACTTTGAGATCAACAGGCTGGATTCCGTAAGGATCGGTCGTTCACAGACCGAATTGTGACACTACGGACCATTGTTGAACAATTAGTTGAATGGAACTCGTCACTGTACACCAACTTCATTGAATATGAAAAGGCATTCGACAGTGTAGATAGGAGGACATTATGGAAACTTCTTCGACACTACGGAGTTCCTGAGAAGATTGTCAATATTATCCGGAACTCATACGACGGACTACAGTGCAAAGTAGTGCATGGAGGACAGCTGACAGATGCATTCCAAGTAAGGACCGGAGTCAGACAAGGCTGTTTACTCTCTCCCTTCCTCTTTCTTCTGGTGGTCGACTGGATTATGAAGACCTCAACATCTGAAGGAAAACACGGAATACAATGGACAGCTCAGAATCAATTAGACGATTTGGACTTCGCAGATGACCTAGCCCACCTATCGCATACACACGAACAGATGCAGATGAAGACAGCCAGTGTAGCAGCAGTCGCTGCATCAGTAGGCCTCAGCATACACAAAGGGAAAACTAAGGTCCTCAAATTCAAAGCGGAGAACAGCAATTCAATCACACTTGATGGCGAAGTGAAGTAAGTAAGCATTTGTATAGATCTAAAAATAAGAGAATTTATAATCACTTGTTTATGGAATTCGAATTCAAAGTTTATTAACATTTTAAAGGCCCTATATACAAACACCTCAGGCAGAGAGAGGGCATACAACCACCTTTCTCCATTGTTCCATTCGAGCAGTGGGGTTAGACAGGGTTGCCCAATCTCACCATTCCTCTTCAACTTTACCATCGATGACATTCTGGAAACGGCTCTGATAGGTGTAAGTAATGGCGGTGTGGATCTGTTGCCTGGAGAAAGACTTCTCGACCTTGAGTATGCGGATGATAATGTTTTACTCTGCGATAATGCCCAAGCCATGCAATCCGCACTTAATCAGTTGGCAATCAATGTCCGTAGGCACGGTATGTGCGAATGTCGTCCCAGAGAATTACACGTCGTGCATTATTTGCCGACTCTGTGACTGGTTGGAAAAAGTGGAGAGGTGGTAAGTGTATGACATGGTGTCGTAGTATGAAAGAAAGCTGCAAAGGGCTGGCTTGTGTTGGTCCTTCACAACTTCCTGGCTGGGATTCGAGAGATGGTGCGACTCAGTGACTAGAGACTTTATCAGATATGGCTCAGAATAGAAGCCAGTGGCGATCCTGCTGTAAATTTCTTTAACTTTCTTCATAAAAAGTGATTGTATCTTCCTTAACTGAAAGATTTCTTCTGATTGTACGTTTCCGTTACCCCCGTTTTTATTATTACACTGCCATACTCAAAGCAACTGTCAACCAACACCAAGGTCAGGATTTTCAATACAAATGTCAAGACAATTCTACTGTATGTGGGCAGAAACCTGGAGAACTACGAAAGCCATCATCCAGAAGATACAGGTGTTTATTAACAGTTGTCTACGCAAAATACTTCGGATCCGTTGGCCAGACTATTAGCAACAACCTACTGTGGGAGAAAACTAACCAGGTCCCAGCGGAGGAAGAAACGCTGGAAGTGGAAAGGACACACTTTGAGGAAAGCACCCAACTACGTCACAGGACAAGCCCTCACATGGAATCCTGAAGGCCAAAGGAGAAGAGGAAGACCAAAGAACACATTACGCCGGGAAATGAAAATAGACATGAGAGAAATGGACAAGAATTGGATGGAACTAGAAAAGAAGGCCCGGGACAGAGTGGGCTGGGGAATGCTAGTCGGCGGCCTATACTCCATTAAGAGTAACAGGCGAAAGTAAGTAAGTACACTAATCTGTGGTCGTTATTTTTTTCATATGGCGAACTGTCATCAGAATTGATTACCTTAAGTGGTGTTCGTCAGAGCTGTCCACTCTCTCCATTCTTGTTTAATTTTGTCGTTGACGTGCTTTTAGAGATATGACTTTCCTCATCTAAATTTCGGGGGGTTGAACTTCTACCGTGCGCTTCACATTCTGACCTAGAATATGCCAATGATATAGTTCTATTCGGTGAAAACGCTGACATAATATAGTCTTCTGACCACTATAAGCAACATTACAAGCATGTTCGGCATGCGGTTTTCTCCTCGAAACGCAAAATGTTGCTTCAGGATTGGGTTGCATCGACACCCAAAATAATGATAGGGAGTGAATTTGTTGAGCATGTCGACCGCTTCACTTATCTGGAAGTCTCATCAACCCTTGTGGTCTGCTGTGTGACGAAATCTCAACACGGATACAGAAGGCTCGACTAGCTTTTGCCAACTTGCGTCATTTATGGCGTAGGTGAGATATCCGTTTATCAACGAAAGGATGGGTTTACTGCGCAGCAGTTTGTTCCATCCTACTTTATGCTGTGAAACATGGCCGGTAAGAGTAGAGGATATCCGTAGGTTACTAGTATTCGACCATAAGTGTCTTCGAAACATTGCTCGTATATCTTGGGACCATCGAGTAAGTAACGCAGTTGTTAGGAAACGGGTACTAGGTAAGGATGGCAAACCAATTGAAGTAGTGAAACGTCATCAGTTAAGATGTCTGGGACACGTGTTACGTATACCCAACCACCGACTGCCTAGACGTGCGATGTTCAATGGTATAGGAGTAGGTTGGAAGAAAGCTAGGGGCGGCCAGACCAAAACATGGCACAAGTCCATGAAGTCACTGACAAGTGGACTGAGTCATGTTGTTAGGTGTAGACTACCTGGTTGGGGACCACTAGATGATAGCAACCGATGGTTAGAGACCTTGAATGACACGGCTCAAAATCGTTTGGAATGACGCAGGTGCATCCACTCTTTGTGTTCTCCCAGATTCTAATCTTCTGTATTCTTTACGTCCCTTTCTTCTCTTTCCAAATTTATTTCACTGAACTACACTCCTTGAATAACATCTTCAAACTCTAATCTTTCCGATTACTGCTTATACTCTTACTACCTCTACCACTATTGGACTTGAATCGACAACTGCATCTCTGTGCTAAAGTGGTATGACAACTCGGATTGATGTACGTGTGTACAAAGTTCTACGTTGTTATCAGCAGCATGTATGTCAATGTTACAAGTAAATTCAAGGTTATTGGAAAGTTAAATTAGTTAAATAACTAGAAGACCCTCCTAGCACATGTTACAAGTAAAATTTACTTATTTGTTCCTGAGTTCTAGGCTATAGATATTTCATTTTTCCAAAAGATATGTTTGCTGGTTGTACTAGAAATGCTTTAGGAATGCATACCGCATCTCATGAGAAACCTAAAGAAAGAAATTGCAATATTATAATGCCGTGTCCTATGTAAATATTTTGATTAATTAACAACCATCAAATAATTTAGTAGTTGCATAGACAAATATTTTTTTGCGACGGTGCGCGATCTCTGTGGAAAATGAACTAATTCTCGATATCATATTTCATAAAAAACCATGAGTGTTATTTGTCACTCTATACTTTTGACAAAAAAGGTTAATTATAATTTTTAAGAACATGTTAGGTTGATTTTATTGATTGAAAAATCCCCACAGTGTTTAAAAAACATTTAATGTTGAAGCGAACAATTGTTTCGCATAATTTTGTCATCAGGTTCGACTGTTGTGTCCACATCTATTGTATTACACAGGCTGAAATAAAACCTGCATAAATGAGTTAGTGTAATATATTAGAGTATTGAACGTTTGCATTTGTTAAAACTTAAATGCGTCAAAACTGTAATCTTTAAATTGATAAGGTTATTTGAATATGGTAAGGAAAATTCGTTATCCATTGTTAGCCACTATCCAACTGTGATAAAATTAGTTATCGAGTTCCAATCGATAAAATCAAACAAATAATGTAAATAAAATACACTAGGTGAAATGTTAT